CGGGACAAGCTTCCTCAGTTTCTGTATGTGTTAAGTAGTGGGAAAGTTGAGGTAATACCAGTTGTGAGATTCAAAGGATATGATGAAAGTAAAGCCTGTAGCTCTGTGCCTTGGACCTCATAACTGTTAAAAAAAAAAAAAAGCCATAATCTGTTATTACTTATGACACTTGAAAATTCATCAGATTTCCAGATCATATCTAAGTTATTTTTAGAGATTATTTTTTCTTTTATTCAATTGTCTTTCACCTGGAATTTTAACATTATAAAGATATATCTAGCAGTTAAACATTGGAGCCATCTGGTAGTTCCTAAATTTCATAATATAAAATGGACATATATGTAATATTTTACAGTAAACAAAACATTTCCTATGTCATATGTATTAACATTTTAGTAGATCGTCAGTACTAATTATGATCAGTTTTAACATTTGACTTTGCCTACACTGATTTTCTGTGGATATCTGTCAAAGACACACAACCTCAAATCATCTATTGATACGTTCAGTAAAACATTTATACATGTTGATAGAGATATAATAATTTATACTATTATATAATAAAACCACTGATTGGCATTGGGGATAGTTGCTATAATTCCTTCCAGGAGCTATAGTAGGGGTGAAACAGTAGAAAACGAAAATGGAAGAGAACTCCATGATATACGCAAGCTTTAGAAAAAAATTTTTTTTGCCCTTTGTATCCTTTGGTATCTTAAATATGCTTCACATATTTAAAACAATTTAGGAAAACTATGAATAAAACCATTCACATATTTTAGGACCCTAATCTAACCCTAATCTAACCTTAGGTGGTTTGAGTTTCATTCTTATTTTTGCTACAACACTCACTCCATGTGTATCTTTTGTGTTTCTAAATAAGAAAATCAGTCCATATTGGTTAGTGAACTGGGAAGCTGTAACTCCATAGTATTTTCAGACAGTGAATATACAGTATATTTTTGCATGTAATTTTGATCTGCTTCCATCAAGTGTAACAATATGTTGAATTTGCCATGGGCCTTTAAAGCTTCAGTGTTGTGAAGAGCTCTGCATGAAATTTTAAAGAGACTGGACCTTTCATCTGCACAGCAGCAGGGCACCTCACTTACAGGGACAAGAAAGGAAAAAAGAGAGAGAGAACATTTATGAAGCAATAGCAAAAAATAACAGCAGAAGCAATTATTTCATCAGAGGTTGATTTTTTTTTCCTGTTCTCCCTCCCCTTTTTTTTCAAATTTCTTAGCTGGAGATTGTCTGCCTGTTGCCTTTGTCTCATGGTGTATGTTTAATTTGCAGGTTTCAGCGGTCAAAATGGGGAAAAATTCATAAATGAAAAGATGTTTATTTTAGAAGGTGATGCTACTGATAATAGCATTTAAATGTATTTGCAAGGGATCTGCAAGTTGGGAACAGTGCAAAGAACCAAATGTGGCATTCCCTTAGCTCTCTTAGTCTGTTTATCTGCTTGGGGATGTGAATGATGTACATGTGTCATCTCCCTGACTTTGCTTCCTCCCTCCCCTCTCATAAACATTAGCAGAAACTTCGACTGCTCTCGTGAGGGTAAGAGAATGTCATCTCTCCATCTTTGTGGCTAATATCAATACACTTTCTTTTTATTTGGGGCAGGGCTGGGCATTCCTGGCTGTTAGTCAATTAGTACCAGTCCTCATGGTATGGACATCATTCTGCTGGCAGTAAGAATAACCAAATGTGGGCCACCATCTTCCTTTACTGTGATCCTGAGACACCATCAAGATGAAATGCCTGGGCTTTCCTGTTGCGAGGATCTGAACCTCTCGCTCAAAGGAAGCTTAGGAGTCCTCCAGAGAGCTGTATTTTTGGAGGCGGGAGGATCATGTCTTCCTCTGGGTATTAAACTTAGTATTTTTTCCCTGTTCTACTATTTATTTGCTTTAGTCTTGGGTGACTTTGGTCTAACTTCTTTTCCATTTTTTTTCCTCTCTTCTCCAGGGTGCTGAGAGGATTGATATAATATTTGCTTGGGCTTTGAGGTTTTGGGTGGAAAATACTGCTCATATGAGTTTCCTATTGATACCTGTAACAAGTTACTATAGACTTAGTGGCTAAAAGACATACCTGTTTATTCTCTTACTGCTCTGGAGGTCAGAAGTCCAAAATGATTCTTATGTGGCTAACTGTGTCAGCAGGGCTGAGTTCCTTCTAGAGGCTCCAGGGGGAAACCTGTTTCCTTGTCCTTTCCAGCTTGTAGAGACTCTCTGCTTTCCTTGGCTCATGGTCTTATACTCCATCTTCAAAGTATATCACTCCAACCTCTGCTTCTATTGTCCTATCTCCTCCTTCTCAAGATCCCTAACTTTAGCACATCTGCAAAGTCCCCATTACCGTGTAATGTAACTTACATGTTCTGGGGATTAGGACATGCATATCTTTTGGGGGGCATTATTCAGCTTGCCACCCCTTCAACATTATACTAAATAACATTTTTATAATTGTCATCCTGTTTCTTTCCATTACTGGATGCACACTTCCTTCCGTCTTCAACTGACAGTGACTATAAACTTCTTAAATGAACAAGCGTTTTGGTTTCATCTCCAAAGTTACTTCTAAGAGTCAAATAGTGATCAACTTCAGGGGAATAAACTTTCAGACGTCATTCCCTAATATTTGGGACTATTTTCTCTGTATCTTTAAGATTCTGAGGAAGCAGAGTTTTAGGGTTCATCACTTTAGGTTCAACCTGATGTCTGGAGGCACAAATAAGGGAGGAGCAATTTCTTCCTTTCCTCTTACATTTATTAAAGATCTTTCTTCATTTTAGGGGGCAGTCCCATCTCTGACCAACTGTTCATATGGTTTTAGGAAGATCTCTTCCTTCGTTGCCAAACTTAATCACTCAGTCCTTTGTGTTCCCATAGCACATTGTACATACTTTTACTGTAACCCCCATCTCATAGGATTGTAATTATTTGTGTTTTCTAAGAAATGGAATTTCTTGAGGTCAGGAATTTCGCCTTATTTACTTTTATTCCCCCTCCCCCAAAGTGGTATTGGCAGAGAATAAACGTATTTTTCTGAACCAGTGAATTATTAAACAACCCTATAGACTGAAGCCCAAATTTTGAGATCATGAAATCTCCTTTAGTCCACCGTCTCCCCTTTTTATGCTCCCTGTTTTCTGTCCGCTTCATGCCCTCTCTATGTTGTACTGCTTTCTGTTCTCCAAACCACATTCCATTTTATCGTTAAATCTGTGTTTCCACTGTGCTAATGTACAAACTAACATTTGAGGAGGCTTACTCTGTGCTAGCCTCAGTACAAAGCACTTTATGGGCATTTAATCCTTACAGTACTCCTATGTGGTTTACATTATATGTATAAAACTTCCGAGGCTTGGAGAGGTTACATAACCTCCTAGGGACCACACAGCTAGTAAGGAGTGGCTCTGGGGTTTGAACTCAATGGCTCAGGTCTGAAGCCCATGTTGATAACTACCACTGCCTTCTGATAACAGGCTTCCATTCCAGAAGGTTTGCTATGCATTCCCTGTGGCCATAGTAATGCTTAAAAACCCCTATATCTACTTAGGATTGAAGTTTGGGTGAGGGTTTTAATTATGAGGGATATTTTATGATTGCAAGTCAGACTCTTAAGAAAATACTGAATAGAGCCATTCTGGAGAACTCCTTGGATTCCATTCCCCGCCACATGTCTCAATCAGCCATAGCCATGAATGCCTGCAAGTTGATTTCCAAAGAAACAAAAGTCATTTTGTTACTGAACAGAGCATTAGCCTTCCTTTCTACTTCATTGGTGTCCATACTTTTTGTTTATAAAGCAATGGAACCCATTCTTCAAAAAATATCATATAGACCCCCAATATGTAATATATATGTGTGTATATATATGTATGTGTATGTGTGTGTGTGTGTGTGTATAGATATATACACACATATATATATGTAAAGTGGATGTGAATTTTCTATCAGTGTGTCCTGCCAGAATCGTTCCATAAATTCTTTTCTCAAGCATAAAAACACAGCACCCTCTCCTGCAACTTTTCTCTCCCACTCTTGTTGTTCCAGATCTTTATGTATTAACTCTGGGTCTGTGGGGAGAACCCAGTTGACCTAGGTTTGTGATGGATTTGTGATGTGTTTGTTCTTCACTAATGTCTTGTGTCAATCACTTAGATTGTGTAAATTCAAAAATAGTCCTGAAATAGCAAAAAGATGGTGGAAATGTATCTAAAGGACCATAGAAGTTTCAAACAGGAAGAAAGCTCATATAGGGCCCTTGAAGGAGCTGTTTGTTTTTGAAGACGTCTTGGGGTGACATTGCTTTTGGCGAATTCACCTTTATCCTGCCAGGCGGAGAAATTTGATTTTGTCCACACTTTGTGTGGCCCAGTCGACCTGCTAGTTGAACCAAATGAATCCTTAGGGTCCCTGTTGTTCGGGGCACACTTGAATAGGTACTGTTACCATGTGCTTGTCTGGAACCTTTGTTCTGTGCTTCCATGGTTCAGCAGTGCTCGTTTTAATTGACCCATTGTGTCCTTACTATATTAATACGTGCAGCAAGGTTAGAGTCAAGAATTGCCAACCCAGAGCCTTTTTCCCTCTGTTACAGGAGTGAGTATACCATGTTAGTTAAGAATATAGGTGTTGAATTAAACAGGACTTGGTTCAAATTTCTGGCACTGCCACATACAAGCTGTGTGATCCTTACTAATTTCCTTAACCTCTCTAAGCTCATTTTCCCTTGAATAAAATAAAAACAACTGAGGGTTGCTGTGAAGATTAAGTGAGATGTAATGTATAAAAGCCCTCAGTGCTTGGCATAGCGGATCACTCGATGACTGCCAACTGCTAGGTTTGTTATTATTTAGGTGGCATCCCATCTCTGTTCTCTGTTCCAGTTTGTATTGATATTCAAGTTTAACTTGCAGAGACTCATCTTGTTTCTCTTAATTTCAGATTCCAGGAGGAGGCCCCGCTATGCTTCCGAGAGGCCAAACACGGGGTCCCCAGCACAGCTAACTGCTTGGTATCTCCTCTTCTCTGTCATTGAGGAAGTCATGTTACAAGGGCACCCAATGGTAATTCCTGCTCACATCTGTGTGCAGTGCCAACCACTCTCCTTCCTTGAGCCAGGATAGAAGTGGAGACCTTCTGCATGAATGCTTAGCTTTTCTTTTTGGCTCTTCAGTTGACTCTATCTACACTCTGCCTCCTTCTGCTTCCCAGGTATGTGTAACATAAACAAATTATACACATGTCACATAAATCCATGCTTGTGGGAAATTCAAATGATGTATAAGTGTGTAAAAATTTTTTGTCTTCTTCACACTGCCAACCACATTCCTCCCTATTAGTGTGTATCATTCTAGCCCTTTTCTATGCATTTATATACTTATTATTTTTAAAAATGGCATTACACTATTCTTTGGTGACCTGATTTTTTAACTTAACATTTCTTGATCTTTTTATTCAGTATGTACAAATCCTTCACATTCTTTTAAATTTTTGCTTAATTTTCATATATGGGTGAATTATTGTTTACCTTGAGATTATTGATTAATATTTAGCTTTCCAGTTTTTAGTACTAAAAACAAGTCTTCAGTGAGTATTTTGGGTTTAAAAGGATTAACATTAAGATACTTCCCACTGTCCTTCTAAAAGCTATGCCACATTATAGTCCCATCAACAGTGTGCAAAAAGGCCTATTTCTATATACAGTTATGTCACCAATAATGAATCTTCTTTAGTCTATTTAATTTTTAATAATCTGATGATAAGCATCTCCTTATTTTAATTAACATTTTCCCAATTATCTGTGAGGTCAAACACCTTTCACAGTTTTTTTTTTTTCTTTTCCCTTTGTAATTTTGAATACTGTCAATTTATATCTTTCTCTAAGTTTTATTTTGGGTTATTCATCTTTTTATATTGCTTTATAGGCACTCTGTGAATTATAGATTTTAGCTTTTTGTTAACTATATCATAACTATTTTCTCTAGTTGCTGCCTTTTAATTGCAATTTTGTATCTTTAAATTTATCTAGTTTTTGCTTTCTTATTTTGAAGTTCATTATATTAATTTGTAGAGGAATGTGAAAGTTTAAAAATTACTCAATATCCTTTGTGGTGAAACAGGCTATTTTCCAATCAAACCAACACATTTATTTACTATCTACTATGTGTTTAGTGTGATGAATAATAACAAAAAAGAAATATAAAACATGGTCTCTGCCTTCAGGGCATTTGTATGTGAATCTCAAATACTTAGATATACCTTAGAAAATTATATGGGGTGTTATTTAGCTAAGTGCTGAATTTTGTTACAGAAAAAAGTGTTTTCAAAAAGAACTAGGTCAAGAGAGTAGGCTGTGAGCATCGTAGTGGAAACTTGAATTGGAGTTTAGAGCCTGGGAAAAAGTTAGTATGAGGTTACAGGACCTCTGTTTCTATATAACAAGTCACCCCAAAGCTTAGTGGCCTAAAAAAGTACCTATTTAATTTAGCTCATAATATTTCAGGTTGATAGTGTGGGTTGGGCTCAACTGGGCAGTTCTTCTGGCGTGGGCTAAACTTGGCTGGGCTCACTTATGAATCTGTAGTCAGCCGATCAATTGCCTGTGCTGACTGGCTTATGATGGCCACATCTGGGATGGCTGAGATGACCAGGGCCTTTTCTTACATGGGCTCTCAGCCTCTGTCAGGCTAGCTTGGGTTTGTTCCCATGGTGGGCACTGAATTTCAAGAGTTTGAGAATGGAAGCTGAAGGCTTCTTGAGATCTTGGCTCAGGATTAGTATACTGCCATTTTTGTGCATTCTGTTGATCAAAACTACAAGACCAGCTGAAATCTAAGGGGTAAGAAACATACTCTGCCTCTTGATGGGAGATAGTAAAGCATTGTGGCCATTGTTGCCATCTATTGCAGTACTCCAATTCAGACTCATGTTTACTGAGTGAGTTAATCCTTGCAGCTATTGTGATGACCATGCTTAAAATCTGTCTTTGACATGCCAGGTAAAACTCTAAATAGCAGTAGAGTAGAAGTCTACAAATGCCTTTTTATCTTGGCCAAATGTGTATTGGCTTTTAGGGAACCTATCTTTCATGTAATTTTTAAAAAGATGATTAGGAATATGATGTGTGGATTTCTGACTAGCCAGAATGACCTATGATAATCTTTCTCCCCACCCACTTTCTTAAAACACATACTGAAAGGGTGAAAGAGATGTGGTGTTTAGTTCTGGCAATAATGCCATGATCATGAAGGCAAAGCATTAAATAAAGCTACAATCACAGTTCTCCAGTTTAAAAAGCCAGCTTCTATCTTGATTTCTTATGTTTATTTTCAAGTTAGTTGACTTTACTTGCAATTTATGGTTTAAATGATTGGTATAATTCCCCTTCTCATATGTTGGTCTTATAGAAACAGTTCTAGAAATTCCATCAATCCTTGTTTTTACTGTATAAAGGTGGCCAATAAGCTTCTCTCCCTTCTGGTGGTCGTGACAGCTTCTCGGTTCAGACAGGAGATGTGAAGTTTAAGCAGTGCCAAATAGACCTGCTGGTACATGTCTTCATAAAAAGTTATGGTCCCTTGGCCAAACCTTTAACTTAGAATGATGCATGAGCAATGTCAGGGTGTAACCTAAAATACTTATATAGAGAGATGGTGCTTTTTAAAAACTCAAGGCTATTCTCCATTGTTCTCAGTTCTTTCCTACTTAAGGAGCAGACACCTTAAGACTTCTATATATTTATACATAAAAAGCCTGATTTCCCTCTGATTCTTGTACATGTATAAAATGATGCTAATTAGAATAAATAGAGGAACAGTGTGTCAGGTGGAGCTGTCCGTGAATGCTGGAGCCAGAATCTTGTTTGAATTAGAAGGATGTCTGCTAAGTTAAGGCACCCTATGGAGATGTATAAGGCCAGAGCTTCTAGCAGTCTATACTGTCTTTATTGAGAGACATATTTATATCTTCCAGGCTAGTAATTAATCACCCAGTGGGGTTTTTTAGGGGGAAGTCATGCACTCACAGAGAATCTTTTTGTACTGCCAGGAACCACAAAGCATGGGCACAATTAAAATGCTGATTTAATTTATTATATTGAGGCATGGAACAGGAATGTTTAAATGATGTTGACAGGGCCAGAATTTCAGAATCACCTTTTTAAAAACAGAAAACAAATGCCCATCCCCTTAAATTAAATTATATTAATAACATGTTTCTGTAAGTTGCTTGGAAGCAAAATAAAGCACTTGACAGTAATTAAAATTTAAAGATGTTGTATTATTTGTTGTTAATGTGCAGTCTTTGTTAGGGGAAATAATTTCAAAGTGATCTATTTAGGAAAATTAAATGGGGGAAAATTGCCTATTGAGCAAATGTCGCTAATAAGGCTGCTTTTCTTAGAACTGTGGATTCTTAAGTAACTAAAATGTTTTTGTATTCCAATTATGGTTTCTATTTTTGATCCTCTCAAAAATTGTCTTTGTTACTTAACTTTTGATATTTCCACACAGAATTCCATTGTGAAGGGGCTTATAAACTTTAAAAACCAGGAAGGCTTTCATATATCTTGGAGTATTGGGTAACATGTATTTGCAGAGAATTTCATCTGAAATCAGTGTGGTTAGTCACTTGGACCTCCTCCAAATACCTCTGCAGGACCAGAAGCCAAATACCTCTGCAGGACCATTAGCAGCCTCTAACTAGCTCTCCTCTAATGAATGCTGTGTTCTGTGTTTCAAAACGGCACTTTCCTGGTTTCACACAAGCTAGAAAATGCCATGAGATAATGGGATAGTTGTTTGCCCTGCTGTACTACAGTGAGGGGGAGCTAATAGAGCCAGCTTTGTGTGGACCTCACATGCAGATAATATTCTGAAAAGCTACACATCTCCACTGTCTTGGGGGAAAGGCAGTTTCTGACCCTGGTTTAAGTTTTATTTTCTTTTGACATTGGCACAGATGCATTTGATTTGGGCTTTCAAAATTGATATTAAATAAAATTCCTAGATGTTAAAATGATGTGTTTTCCCATGAATGAAATAAACCATAAACGATGCATGTTGTTTCTTACCATGCTACTGCCATATTTGTGTTCCTTGATAGTGCAATTACAGTGTGGGAATTAAGTGACCCCTGTTGGTCTCGATAATTCTGGTGATAGGAGTGCAAATTGGATGGAAGAAATGGAATAGTTTGTCTATGTATGTTTCTCCACTGGTTAAAATTAAGTAATAGTGGAGTCAACATTTATTTTATGAGCATTTACATGGTGAGAGTTTTCTTCTGGGAAATGTTCCTGGTTTTGTGGAAAAACTCTTTTGACTTAGGTACTAAATAATAATTAACCATTGTTGACATTGTTTTTCTCTCCTCTCTTTACTGATCTCCCACATCCATTTAGTCACCAATTCCTGTGGATTCTGCTCTTTGAATGTTATGATGATCTCCCCACGCTTCCCCTCCCCACCCCACCAGCTCTCAAACTGCCGTCACTGCCAACATGGATTTGTTTATCTGTCTCCCCTACTAGACTATAAACTATTTGAAGGTGTGAATCACATCTTATTTGACTTGGCCACAGTGTCTAGCATATAGTAGGTGATCAGTATATATTTCATGTATAAATAATGACTTTTATACAAACCATTTAATTTAGTCATTCTCAACTGGAGGTGGAGGATGATTTTGGCCCCCCACACCCCAAAAGAGGACATTTGGGAATGCCTGTAGGCACCTTGGTGGTTACAGCTGTGGGGTGTGTGTGTGTGTGTGTATGTATGTGTATGCTACTGGCATCTGGTGGGTAGAGACCAGACATATTGCTGAACATCCTACAATGCACAGAATTGCAGCAAAGAATTATTGGGCCCAAAAATGTCAGTAGTGTCAAAGTTGAGAAACCCCACTCTAATTTTCAAAATATCTCTCTCAAATAGATGGGTAGCTAGTAGTAGTTTCTTGATTTTAGATATGAGAAAACACACATTAAGTGACTATTCTAAGTCCACCCAGCTTAAGGTAGAGTCAAATGTGAGATTTACTCTATACTGTCTACATTCTGAAACAGATAATGAGGGGACTAGAAGCCATGTCACAAAATTTCACGAAAATTGAAGCTACTATGACTGCTTGGTGTAGAGAAAGAAAGATGGGAAAAGGGGGTAGTAGAGGAGGGATGTATGAAATTGAAAAGGCTGCTGTGAGATAATGTA